AAAGAGCGACTCCCCCCTAGTGCGCCCTAAAGCGCCCCGGATCCGAGCTCCTCTCTTCCTGAGGGGCTCGTTCGGGTCTCCGCTCGCGCGGATTCCCTCCTCCACCGCGGGCGGGTGAGGCGCCCTCGGGAGCAACCCGAGGATGCGTCCGCCATTCGCGGGAGCCAGACCGGAAGCCCCTACTAATTCTTTCCTTAATAACAGTTTCCACCAACTTACCCGGTATCAACGTCAGACTGACTGGCCTGTTATTTCCCAGATCTCCTCTGGAACCCTTTTTAATGATGGGAGTGACATTAGCTACCTTCAAGTCCTCGGGAATGGAGGCAGATTTTAAGGAAAGATTACATATTTTTGTCAGGAGATCCACAAGTTCACAATTGAGTTCTTTCAGAACTCTCGGATGTATGCCATCCGGGCCTGGTGATTTATCAGTTATCAGTCATAGGACCTCTTCTCTCGTCATGTCAGTCAGTCTTTCAACACCCCTCCCGAAATCAGCGGTTCTGGAGTTTCACTTGAAACTTATGGTCTGATCCTAGCTCACAGACTGTTCTATCAACAATGTTTCAGACTTCTCTAAGTGATTTTTTTAAAATACTCTTCCTTGTTTGTATAGATATTGATCTCATTGGTTTTTTTAAATTTTTTGTTCCTATCGATTGTTGGTCTGAATTGTTTGTACTTTTAAAAACTTTGAGCTGCCTTGAGTAGGTCAGGAGGGGGGAGCACATACATTTTCTAAATAAATAGGTAGTCCACCATAAGGGTTGGATCCCACAGAGTGTTTTTGTTGACAGAAGAACTTCCATCAGTTGAAATCTGTAGGATCCAAGCTGGGGATGTGTGTTAAAAATAAAGAATACAACTTTCTATTTGTTACCTAAAGTGTAGGGAGCTTAATCACTCTGGTTGTTCCTTTGCTGTGCAAGTTACTCAGGCCCTCTATTGACAAAGAAGAGAAAAAATTGTGGCCAGTGTAAAATAATGACTTGAGTCTTGTATAGTCTTTGTTCTATTCATGTGACTCAGAACCCTTTTGAAGCAAAGAATAGAAAGGGCAAGACAAAATAGCCTTTGTAAGCTGGAGATGAATTTTAGAAGCACTCTTGGCCAGTTCTGTTCAAATGGCAGTGGTTCTTCTAAGTCTACAGGATTGCACCCTTAGTTAGCCGATTCTATGCGTGTTTACTCTGAAATAAATGCCATTGTGTTCAGAATCACTTACTCTGAGGTAAGTTTACACAGGACTGCAGAAGTTTCATTCTGGACAGTGTTTTTTTTTTCCCCCTCTGGCAGAGTTGAGAAGCTTTTAGCTTGCCTAATAACACTGGGATACTTTCAAAGCAGAATGACTGGTAAACAATGAAGTTCATCTGGGCTGTTGAGCTCCTGTTTCTCTTTTGCTCTCTGGCCAGTGCCAGGCTACGCAAATAAGCAAGTAGTCATTTAGTTCTAACTGTTTAGTGAATGGACGGGATTTGTTGAGCATACCCAGGTAGAGCTGGCTGCCCCTGGAGACTTTGGGAACAGCGTTTGCCAGTTTGCTGTAGTGGTTAAGTGTGCAGACTCTAATCTGGGAGAACCGGGGTTGATTTCCCACTCCTCCACTTGCAGCTGCTGGATGACTCTGGGCAAGCCATAGTTCTGTCAGAGCTGTTCTTGAAAGAGCATTTCTCTCAGAGCTCTCTCAGCTCCACCTACCTCACAGGGTGTCTGTTGTGGGGAAGGGAAGGGAAAGGGATTGTAAGCTGCCCTGACTCCTTTGGGTAATGAAGGGCTGGGTATAAATCCAATCTCTTCTTCTAGAAGCCACTAAATAGTCTGTGGTTTTGTTCATATTGCCAGGAATGTTTCCTGATAGCTTTTTAACCTCCTTTTACCTTGTTTCTAAGCTGATTGTTTTGAAGCATGAAAGCACCCTGGCATCAGTAACATCAAGACTGCCTTTTAGGTTTGCATGTGTGACTGCTGTGGTGACGCAAGAAGGAGTGACTTGAATCTCCATGTGTAGTGCTTCTGTGCTTCAAGGCAGGCTGGTTTTTATTCCTCAGAAAACGGCTTTGGAGGGCACATTCTCTGATCACAAGTAACAGTTATGTCAAACTTTCCCTGGGTGAAATAAGTGGCAAACCTTGAGGCATAACTGGCTTTTCCGCTTTGTGCGTTTTGATTCAAACACCCTCCCCCACCCCCGCTGTTGGGGCTGCAAACTGAGGGTGCTCTTGGTTATGCAAATGGGTTCCTGCTTTCTGTAAGGTAAACTGTCTGTCTTGTTGCATTTATAGAACTCTGGGTCTCCCCACAAAGGTCATGGAGAAGAGGTTGGAAGACAATCTCAGCATCAGCTCTGTGCACGTTTTGGGAGATTTCTTTGGAAAAGCTGCCAAGTGGCTGGGCCAGTTTCACCTGCTCTACATGTGTGCCTGCCTCAACGCTTTCTGTTCCTGTACAGGTGACAGTTCACAATTATCTTTCTGAGCCATTTTTAGTTATGCTGTTTGAATACTTGGTTCAGGTTTTCAAACAGTGAGCCACTCAAAGGTTGCAATCCAAAGAACACTTTACTGGGAGTAAGTGCCTTTTAATTAAATGGGACTTATTTCTGGGTAGACCTGCTTAGGACTGGTCCCTAAAATTCTCAAAAAAGGTCCATCAAGATTAGTGACATGGTTATCTTGTATGCTGAGGTCATTTCTAGTGTTTCTAAGCATCCCCAGAATAGTGGTGGCAAACACTCAAAATGCTTTTAATTGATGGCACCTATTAGAAAGATAATTTTTATAGGTGACCCCAAATTAGAAATAAATGGATCTACAAATGAAGAGCCAGCATGGTATAGTTTTCAGAGTGTCAGGTTTGAATGCCCATTTTGTCATAGAAGCATACCTTGGGCTAGTCACAAACTCACAGCCTAACCTACCTGGCAGAGTTGTTGGGAGGATAAAATGGTGAAGGGGAGAATGTTGTAAACCACTTGGGTCCTCACTGGGGAGAAAAGTGGGTTATAAATAAATACAGATTAGAGAACAAAGCTTTTGAAATGAATTTCCCCCTGAATATCAGAAGGCCTTGTTATAATACTACAAAAAATTCAGTGACAAAATGGTCCCGTACACAAAAATAAATTGTAAATATAATTTCTCAAGTTGCACCACAGTATGGAAACATCTCACATAAAAACAAATCATGCTGGTTGTACTATAGATCCGGTGCAACTTGAGGTAACATTTGCAATATGATTTTATCAGTCTGGTCTCTCGTGCCAGATCTTAATGGTATAGTCATTTGCATTTTAATGTTCAGGCAAAAGATTGTTTTGAAATGATGAGAACAAAGTGACAGTAACCTTGATGCCATTGTCTGGGGTATCATTCCTGTCATTTTTCATATATTTTTGAGTGCATGTACATTTTCCATGCTAATTATGCAGACTAATCAAGGGTAAAGGTTTTTGTCCTTGTGAAGGTGTCTGCTTTTATCAGACTGACCATCTTTGGGCATTAAATGTTCAGACTGCTGTATTCCACTTTTAAAAAAGTAAGCCTGCTGTTTCTCATGGCTCTTTTACGTACACCTCTTCAAATACAACGATATAAGGACCCTGCCAAATATGGTTGCGTGTTTGTATTATTTGCTATTTCACCCTGATCTTTCCCTACCACTGCTTGCATGCCTTTTAAAAGGAAAAGTGGTGAATTCGCATGTCCATCCTGTTCATCTTTGATGCAATCTATGTGCCTTTTGAACTTTGGGTATTAGAAACCTCTCTCCATCAAATAGTTCTTCATTCAGGATATTTTGTTTGCAAGTTTTCAACAGTGATTTTTGGTGGAAGAATGGAATCAGAAAATTTTCTGATGTCAAAACAAAGTAAGATATGTATTTGTATTTACTGACTTTGGTAAACAGAATTTAAAAAGCATTAACTTTAATTTTTATCTCCCAATAGCAACAAATACCTGAACTGAAATGTATTGCTAGGAAAAAATGTCAAATGTGGTTTAAATGTTACAATCAACCAAATCCAAAGCTTTATATGGAAATTGTTTTTATTGGAATAATATAAAGACACCAAGTATGTATTTTCCTTACATTGTATACATTTAAGGAAAAAAACTAAAGGTATTCAAAAAGAGCTGACACATTAGGTCAAATAAAAACCAATCAAATAAATTATAATATAATTTTAAAAATTCACAATTTATCGTTATACATCTTTGTGGCACTATCCCCCCACTTTAAAAATCAAGAAAACAGTTTCACAGTTCCTAGGGATAATCACCTGAAAAACATTAAATCCGTTTGAAACTGCCAATCTTCCCTGATACTGTGTTGGATATGGAATCCATTAATTGTTAACTAATTTTATGTAACAAGGAATCTAGTAACAATAAATCTTATAAAACAGAAATCATTCCATAGAAAAATAAAGCACCAGAAGTTTTCACTGAAATTTCTGTCCCATGTTTCTGATTTTTTTCCCCCAAGGGTCGGGAGGAAATCACTTTTGAAATATTAATTTATTCACATTAAGAATACTTGCCCCATGGTTGGAAGTCTGAAAAGGTGGTGGGGTATTGTTCAGCAGTAAGTCATTTCACAGACAGGTTTTCTCAATTAAAGCCCAGCTCCTTCCCTCTGCTTGCTACTGCAAAATGTACTTTGTAAAATAAAACTTCCATTTGGCAAATTATTAGGATTAGCTTTTGCATGGCGTAGCCCTCTTAAGGGATATTTTCCTGATCACTTTCACTGGGGCAGCTGCTTTTGAGCTCAGTGGGGTTGCAGGTAGTGAAGCCTCTCCCACCCCAGCTATTGCTATAGTCTTCATAATTATCTTGTTTGTCTGAGGCTTGGCAAGTGGGAAATTTGATTAAGCTGATGTGCTGTAAGTGAATCATTAATCCCCAGTTTGGCTTGCGTGCACACACAGTTGATTTAAGACCCTGGATTTATGTTTCAGGGAGGGGGATGGATTGGTTTGTAGAGCACAGTCATCATTGTGTGTTAAGGCACTGTTTGTCTGAGTTGTTTTGCTTTTCTGAGATTAGTTTCCTGATTTGTTCTTCCCAGAATTGTGTTTCAAAAACCACTGACTTTTTTGGGTGGGGGGTTGTTTTCTTTAACCTTAGCTGCCTTTCAGGAGGGCTCTAAAGTCAGGAATGAGCCAGACTAGATGGAATATAGGCAATGTTTGTATTTAAAGGAGGGGGGTTAACTTGCAACCGAATGTTCTTTCTCTCCATCCCCCTTCAGTCCCTGCTGTGGAAATTGTTAACATGATCATGTCCTTAAATTCTGCTTATTAAGCGCATTTTCATTTTTGCCTTCTTCCAGGGAGGTCAGAGTGGCATGCATGTTCTTACTCCTCCACAGGGCTTTTTTTGTAGAAAAAGCCCAGCAGGAACTCATTAGCATAATAGGCCACACCCCTGACAGCACAGCCCATTTGGCATATTAGGCCACACCCCCATGTTACCAGAAGTGTGCTCATCCAGCCACACCCACCTTTTGCTTTTTATTCTGTTTACCTTGTTTGTTGTCCAAACCCAGGGCTTTTTTTGTAGCAGGAACGCCTTTTCATGTTAGTCCACACACCCCTAATGTAGCCAATCCTAATGAGTTTCTGCTGTTGGGTGTGGCCTATTATGCTAATGCTTTCCTGCTGGGTGTGGGCAACTTGGAAGCCAGCTGGAACTCCGTTCCTGTGCGTTCCTGCCCAAAAATAGCCCTGCTCCTCCATTATATCTTCATGACAACCCTGTGAGGTGATTTAGACTGAGAGTTGCTGGCCCACAGTTGCCCAGCGAGCTGCATGATAAACCTGGGATTTGAACCTGGGTCTCCTATATCCTAGTCCAGTATTGTAACCACCATACAACGCTGTTTTAATGTCATTATTTTAAAAGCGAATATTTTGCCCAAGAAATTTGAGATTGCCATTTTCTGTTTTATACACAAGACTAAATTAGGCCCACAGATCTCTTAGAAGGATTATTGTGGTGCCATTCATAACTTGTAAAGCAGCTCTGTGTTTGAGAGATTCATTCCAAAGTATACCAGAACATCTAGTCTCTTCTTATCTCTCCCCCTCCAAGTTGAATATTCATGTTCTGAAGAAATTCTTACTTCCCGAGAGAAACTTTCTGTTCACTCCTAGTGTGTGGACAAGAAGATATTGTCTAACTCTTACAGTGCTGAAGTTTTAAAAGTTTGTCTTGTTTTGAAACAGTAATGCAGTTGCAAATGGTTTCTGTTAAATAGGCATTTTTTTCTCTCTCAAAGTCAACTGTGTGGTGGCTGGTTATAGGGAAGCGGTTCATGAAATGGATTTGGCTAGTCTCCTTTGCTCATAACTGATTTTATTTGGAACTAGAATTCACATAAGGCTATCACGCAATATTGAAATCTGGGATGGACGGCTGGTCCAGCTCCTAGGACTGCTCTGGGAATGCATCTCCAACCAGAGGTCCATAGCTGATGCCAATGTTGGAGTTAACTTGTATTTAACAGAGTACACACAGCTCTGTCTTGAACAGAGAGGACTGCAGCAATGTGGGTTTTCCTGAAGAATATAAATCAGAAATTTTCAGTGCCATAATTAGAGCATGATGTGATTTTGCATATTTATATTTAGGAAACAGCAGTTTCAAAACACCCTATGTTAAATAGTATAAATTAAGGGAAAAATCAAAGGCACTGAAAACTGACACATTATTTAACCACACATAAATAACTGTGCGTGGTATGATTTGGATATCACTGTCGACTCATGTTTGATCAGAATCCAACTCTGTTCTGTGGAGGAAACTGGCACCTCAGTTTCACTGCTGCTCTCCTTGGCATCACTTGCATTAGTTGTTACTTCCACATCAGGTTGGTGATTACATGGTCACTTCCCCAGTGCGTGGGAAGACACATAAATAAGAATTTTAGCTTTGGTTTTGATGTGACCTGCATAGCCAATAAGGTGAATTCATAATTTGATTTTTTTTTAAATGGGTTATTATCTTTCTGTTTAGAAAGCAATAAAACATGCATGTACTCTTTCATGAATTCTAGGAATAATTACCTGGAAAATGTTAATTCTAAGTCTGAAACTGCCAAAATTGTGTTAGCAGTGGCACCGATTCATTGTTATAAACTTTATAAAACAATGAATCTTCATAAAGGGAAATTTTTGGCAGAAAAATAAAGGTTTAGGAAAAAATGTTGGCCCACACTGTTAAGATAGTACTATATAAATATTTAAGTGCTTAAAGCACCTCTTGTATATTAGTTATTCAGGAAATAACCCAGTATAATAGGCCCAGCATTACCATCCATGTATTACAGATATGGTAGGCTGGTTGAGGCTTGAAATAGTAGGATCTAGACTCATGTCATCTGCTCTTAACTATTTGAGTTTGCAGATGTTCAGAGCACCTTGTTGTAGACCCACATTCAGTGTAA